CTCTCCACTCAAGTCCTCTGTAGCTAGGAATATTTAAATACACTTTTTATTTGTTAAACTACTCAGTAGCTTTTAAGCAGGGTGTTATTCAGTTTCCATATATTTTACTTTATTTCCTTGATATTACTATTGTTGATTTCTAATTTTGTAACACTGTGACCTGATGCTTTATAACACATGTTCTATTATGGAGAATGTTTCCTGTTTACTGGTAAAGAATATGTACTGTGCTGTTATTGGGTTGAATGCTTTGTACAAAATTATGACTTCAAGTCTGTTCATTGAGTTGTCTAGTTCTTCTGTGTCTTTATTGAATTTCTTTTTGGTTGTTCTCCTTTTTTGAAAGTAGTGTATTAAAATCTCCCACTATTATTGTAGATTTGTCAATTTCTTTTTTCAATTCTACTAGGGTTTTGCTTATGTATTTGGGGGCTCTTTCATTGGGAGCATAGACATTTATTATGGTTATGTCCTCTTGTTCAACTGATCATTTAATCATGAGATAATATCTCTTAATACTAGTTTTTGCCTTAAAGTTCATTTTATCAGAGATTAGTATTGCCACTCCTGCTCATTTTTTATGCAATTAGCTTGCTATATTTTTTCCATCCTTTAACTTTTAATCTGTTTTTGTCTTTGTGTGTAAAGTGCTTTGTTGACAGCATATTGACAGATCCTGTTTTCTTAGCCATTCTGCGACTGTTTGTCTCTTGACTGATGCATTTAATCTGTTGATGTTGTTGTTGTTGTTAAGTGCTGTCAAGTCAATTCCAACCCATAGGCAACCCTGTATAGGGTTTCCAAGGAGCAGATGGTGAGCTTGAACTGCCGACCTTGAAGTTCAAATGGCTTTGCAGTCCGGCGCATTAACTTACAGCGCCACACCAGGACTCCAATCTATTGATATTCAGTAAAATAAACAATAGGTATGAGTTAATTGCTGCCATTATGTTGTTTTCTGTGGTGCTGCTAGTTTCTTTGTTCTGCATGCCTTCTTGTGGTGAGTTCATTTTTAGTGTATGCTTTTCTTGTCAATTTTCCCCATAGTTTCAATGTTTCCATGTTCTTTGTGGAATATTAAGTTTACTTGAGATTACCCTATATTCTATTAATTTCTTTTCATTTTAAAACAATCTGTTTTATCCTGAAATCTATTTGATCTTCTCATCACCTGGATCTCTATTCCTATACTTTTCCCTTCTTTCACATTGTAGTTGCTTTGATCATAGATTTATCTCCCATATCCCCTGATTTCATTCTTGTAGTTTTATTCTGTTCTGGACTCTTAAATACCTCAACTGAGTTCCGGGTGGTATTGCCACATACATTAATCTCTGGTTGCCATCTGCTCTTCTTAGTTCTCAGTCCAAAGAACTCCCTTTCATATGTTTTGAAGCATTGGCTTGGCTTTTATGAAATCCCTTGTTGTTGTTAAGTGCCGTTGAGTCGGTTTCGACCCATAGTGACCCTGTACAGGGTTTCTGAGGCTGTAAATCTTTATGGGAGCAGAACGCCTCATCTTTCTCCTGCGGAGCGGCTGGTAGTTTCGAACTGCTGGCCTTAAGGCTCGCAGCCCGACTCATAACCACTACGCTACCAGAGCTCCTTATGAAATCCCTTAATTTCTGTTTATCCTGGAATATTCTGATTTCATGGTCATATTTGATTGACAACTTTGCTGCGTATATGATTTTTGGTTGGCAGTTGTTTTGTTGCTGTTTTTTATTTCAGTGTTTTGTATATGTCTCCCCACTGCCTTCTTGCCTGCATTGTTTCTGCTGAGAGATCAGTGCTTAATCTTATTGGCCTGTCTTTGTAGGTAACACTTCTTTTTTTCACTAGCTGCTTTCAGGATTCTTTCCTTGTCTTTGAATTTGGAGAGTTTGATCATGATATGTTTTGATGAGGGCCTATCCTGCCTGGGGTTCATGCAGCTTCTTGAATGCTTATCTTCTCATTTTCCAGGATGTTAGGGAAATTTTCTTCCAGAAGCTCTTTGGCTATATTTGATGTGGGTTTCTTTGATTTTTCCTGTTCTAGAACTCCAATCACTCATCGGTTATTCCTCTTCATGATGCCCTACATGAATCTTAGGCTTTCTTCAGATTTTTTCCTTCTATTTTCTGCTTGGTCCTCTATCTTAGCAGTATTGAGAGATGTTTTATTTCAAGCTTTTTGATTCTAGCTTCCATCCCTTCAGTTCTACTCTTTTGCCCATTCAGGGTATTGTCCAATTCTGATATTTTAGTATTGATCATCTGGACCTCTTTTTGCAGGTTTTGTACTGTCTTTGAAAGTGGGTAGACAGAAGAAAATAAAAGAACATAAAAGAAATACTCACACCTTTATCTCTGCCGATCCATCAGACCTCTGTGATGGGAGTGCTTTCTTGATCTTCTATCTGCTCACTCTCATTCAAAATGGTTGCACTGGGACTCATTGGCTGCTACAAATCAGAAGCCTCCTTTCTTGCTTCTGCTCCAAATCTTACCCCTGGTAAGCACTCGATCCCCTTATTTGTCCTTTTATCTGATGTTCAAAGTTCCAGGACCATCCTATGAACCTGTTGCATCCAGTATTCCATGTTTTTACTGGTGGAGATCTGTACAGCCTTTCTGCTTAGTCTACCATCAAGCCCCGCCTCCTACTAAGAGTTTTGAAAATGCTTTCTCATTTTATTTCTTGCTACAAACATTACTATCCATTTCACAAGGGTGAAAAATGTGTTTCATAGAGGTTAAATAATGTTACCATTCTGCAAAAATAATTGGTGATCATAAAAAGAAATTATAATAAGCCAGCTGGAAAACACTCAGTATCTCACAGAACAGAAATGAGCCATGGAATAGAATTCTAAGGAAAGATTCCACTGAATTGGCTGATGTCCTGCAGTTGGTGAAAAGTGAACTAAGAGGCAGAATAATAAAGTTGAGTCTTTTTGGTTCAGACTGTGCTACATAAATAAGAATCAGCACACAATTTAAAAATGGAAGAATAAGTACTCCAAGGTACCCAATGACTGCCCTGAAAGATTAATTAAATATATACCATCATTTCAATGTTAGCCTCCCTAGGTAAGGGAAAAACATACAGAAGTTCCCCCAACCAGTTTCCAGATGATTGCAAAACTCTCTGTGAGCCTATTCAGAAAGAAAACATGACTAAAAGGAGTAACTAGTAAACAAAAGCAAAGTCTTAGATTACATTCAAACTCTCAAATCTTCTAGGGTTAGATAGGATCTAGAAATGAGAGTCAAATATAAATAATTGCAAAATTTTATTAATAATTGCAGTTTATTAAGAACTAATACTTAGTTATCAACAAAAGCTGCATTTCATTTCTCTGGAGTCAAAGGGTCTCAAATAGGCTGAAATTATAATGAAGTGAAAAATGCAGATGGGGAATATTCTGAGCCTAATAATTGCAAGGTCAATGGTTCAAACCTACTAATTTCTCCTTGGAGACCCTATATAGGGTTGTTTTGAGTTGAAACTGACTCTACAGCACTTAACAACAGCAAACAAGAATAAGAGCTCAGACATCTGGAGTCATGGTGGAAGCTGTGGTATAAGATATAGATGGCTAACTGCAAGGTTGCTGGTTCAAACCCACCAGCCTCCCTTAGAAACCCTATACAGGGTCATTATGAGTCAGAGGAGACTCGACAGCACATAACAACAGTAAGAGCATATCTATGTGGGCTAGATCTACAAAGAATATATCAGAGAGAGATGTACATATTAAACTTCAACTTTATGGAAATCTTGACAATTTCCCCAGGTAATACTAATATAAAATATTTCTATACAGTTGATTCTTGTTGTTAATCGTTGTTATGTACTATAAGGTCACTGTGAACACTGAATTAGTGAATACTGACCTACTGCTATAGGAGAAATATAGAGTTAGCCTGCTGTAACCCTCTGGTCACAACATTTCCATAAGCCCATCAATACATTACCTTGTTTCATGTGTTTCTGTTTAAGAAATCTTTAATATATATTGTAAATTCATTAATTTTAATTCATGGTCAACTCATGCCTGAATGAAGCTTATTTAACATGCACATTTGCTCTGTAAGGCACACCACACCTTTCTTAAGCTAAGGAATACTAGACAGCACTTCATCACTACACTTAGGGGCCATATTAAACAGCATAATCACAATAAAAACAAAAATCTGTGGAAAATGTGGCAGTAAATAGACAATGAAAATGTCTATTTTTTTTTTAGTGTGAGAGCTAAAACAAGATAGCAAAGTGTTGTTTTGTTCAACATCAGTTGGAAGTATGTGCATAAGATGACACAACGTTCCTGTCTATAAAAAATTTTAAAAGAACCATGAGTATTGATTTTGGAGTTATATATAAATTTTAGCAAGTTCCTAAGTATAATATCTAAAAATAGCAAAGTTTGATTGTGTTGCTTAAAACAAATTGAAGCAGAGTTATCTAATCTGTTTGAATCTGGGAATGCTACCACATTCCTGAGAAGCTAGAATAACAAAAGTAGACCATGGGTAGAATACTGATTTGCAAAAAAGAGAAGTTTATTAATGAACTTTATAAATCCTCAGTGGATCAATGTTTGTGTTTATCTTTCCTTTCTTTTAAAGTTAACCCATGAAATTTCATAGAATTCTCAAGAATAGACTGGTACAAAAACTTAAATATAAGTGTGCATCACTTCAAGAACTCTTTTGAGAAAAACTTGAGAATGAAAAAAACCTAAAAGTCAAGATGTTACATGTTTAATATTCAATTTGCCTGTGTATCTTGAAATAAAAAAACAGCAAAATTCAATATTGAACAAGATTTCACTTCTAAGACTAATGAAAATATATTGGTTGAAATGTAAGGGTAGAGGCTAGACTCTATCTCTGAGGCCCATTCTAAGACTATATATATCCTTTGAACTTACCTAAGTATTTTTGATAAAAAATAATCCTAGAAAGAAAGAAAAGGACTTACCTAAGTATTTTGGGTAAGGTTGAACTTACCTAAGTATTTTGGATAAAAATAATCCTAGAAAGAAAGAAAAGAAAAAAATTACTTTAGTAAACATTTAGTAAAATAAAGTTGAAATTTAATTTTATAATGTGTTTTTACATTTAAGAGGCCATAAATTATACATGACTTTAACTTTTACATCATAGAATTTTTTCTGTAATAGATGAACAATAACAATACATCAGTAATATGCTTAGGTTGAAATATTATTAATCAATTAATTCATGCTTCAAGAGCTCCTAATCTGAAGACAGACTCTATTTAAGATGGATGTAATTATACATTGCCCCCACCTTTTTAAAAATCTTTTTAATTTGGCCACAGTTAATAATCATCAACAACAACCTTTGTAACATGTATTTCATATAATTATGACTAGTTGCACAGTGACTGAGCAGTGAACTGTTAAAAACCAAGCACTCATCAGGTTAAAGATGTGACAGTCTTCTTCCATAAAGATTCACAACCTAGGAAATCCTATGGGCACTTATACTCTATCCTATAGGATCACTATGAATTGGAATCAATGGCTATGGGTTTGGTTTATTTGTTTTACAGATACATCATGATAAGTAAATATATATATAACTTAATGTTGAATAATAATGACATAATTTGAAGTACATAAACGTGGACTTTTTTTTTTAGCATTTTTTGTATATATACTTTAGTTATAAATTGGTTTTGTACTAAAAAATTATCTGTAAACCAGCAATTTAAAATAAGGAATATGCTTTAGTGAAGAAAGAAAAATGTTAAAAATTTGTGATGGTAATTTCACAAAAGTGTTCTTAAGCCTTAATGAATCAAATGAACAGCATTCAGATCATAAGAACTCCTCATAAGACACAGCGTTTCTATGGAAAAAAACATACTCAATATTCCAATATAACAAATACAGGGCACATCTTCATCTAGTAATGTCAAAGCACTCACTCTCCTCCTCTTACATATAAACCTACATAGAAATATCTTCTGGTTTATAAGGATGAGATCTACTAACAGGTAATTCAGACAGTAGTGTTGTCTTTCATAGCATGAAAGTGGAAGGGAAAGTAAGATATATACACAACCTTGGAACGGCAGGGCTCTGAGATACAGGGA